GATGAAAATGAACATGCATCGGTCTGCACTACCTTGGATCGTTATCGAGCAGAACCCATCATCAGCATGGACATGTCCTCTGGAGTGGTGGTTGAAGCATCAAGGGACATACGAATCTTTAGTGCATCTGGCATTTAAATATTGTGCAACACCGGCTACAATAATGCCATGCAAACACCTGTTCTCACTTTCAGGTGACATTGTGAACAAGAAGCGGGCAGCATTATCTCCTGCAAATGTAAACAAACTTGTTTGTCTGAGCAATTGGCTGAACAAAAACTAGGACTGAGTGAACTTGTAGGCTGTAAACTTTTACATTGTTTTATTTTTGAATGCATTTTTTTGGACATAATTCTACGTTTGTAAGTTCAACTTCCATGATAGAGATTGCGCTACAGAACTTGTATTACATGAATTGAAAATTGCTATTTTGTTTTTTACAGTGCAAATATTTGTAATCAAATAAATATAAAGTGAGCACTGTACACTTTGTATTCTGTTATAACAGTGCGATTAATTTTTTTATTTGCTTGACAGCCGTAATTATGACACAATCATATCCGAATATTACGATAAAATATATGGGAAGCAGTGTCACAATACACTCCATTGTTTGTTAGAAGATGAAAAATATTGGTTTGAAGAAGCTTGTTGAGTAATTGGTCCATATGTTAAAGCCAGTAAAATAGCCTTTGATTCTGAATTCATGTTGAAGCTGGTGAAGACTAAAAAAAACCAAATAAAAAAACCAGCCCTGATTTGAAATTGCAGTTAAAAGATGGCAAAATTGGTGTTGAGAAAGCATTAGCTGGCCATTATACCATGTCATTTTCCAGCATGTCAGTCATCACATACTAGTTTCCCCCTCGCAACAGAGGAATCAGTACTTATTCTTCAATTTGCAGAAGTTTATGTTGAATGTGGGGTTCTGTGATCAGTAATTCAGCTGCAAGCCTTGTTTCCATTATTTCAAAGTCTTGTTCTCCAATGAAACACTGAAAAATCTCAAGTAAATGTCCTGGGAGAAAACAAGGCTATGATTGTGACAGTAGCTGGTGTAGAATTTCTGTTTTCATCATGACAGGTTTCAGAGTAACAGCTGTGTTAGTCTGTATTCGCAAAAAGAAAAGGAGTACTTGTGGCACCTTAGAGACTAACCAATTTATTTGAGCATAAGCTTTCGTGAGCTACAGCTCACTTCATCGGATGCATGTGGCCTGGTGCATTCAAAACCTAGAAAACTGCATGGAAACAGATAAGACTTCAGAATTAGTTTCTTCAGCATCTTAATTCAGAAAGTCTTGAAAGTATCCTTGGTGGATCTGAATAGTTGGATTCAGTGGTAACTGAATTGTGATTGTTCACAGATTGTAATTTGTTTAAAATGATGTATTATGAAAGAATATGGATGTCTTAACACTGTAACGTTTTTAACAAATTTGAAATGTATTAATGTATTGAAATTAATCAGATTGGGTGTTAACATTAAAAAACTTTGTTTTATAGTGACAGTTTTGGTGCCAATTTGGATTTATAAAAGGTTATAGATAAAAATACAATTAAGTATTTTTCAATATTCTTTATCTTCCACAGTTTTATAAAATTCAAGTGAAATACTCTAACACTGAAATAAGTCAATTTAAAACCCAGCATCTATAACCTAGTTCATTACAAATTGTAATCTAAAATTGCAATAGCACTTAATTTCCAGTTACATCATATCCTTGTACAACTGACTTAAATATTTATTTGTTAAAGCAAGTAATTAAAAATAAAAATAACCATCTCACATAGCAAAAAACACAGGCAACTCAGGAAGTTTGAGTGATAGAACTCTGGTTTCCCTGTTCTACCTCTGGAAGCTATAGCCGCTGCCTGCATTATCATGAGGTCGCTATACTGCAGTAGTCTCTTTTTTTGAGCTTGGCGGCAGCAGCAGCCTCACTCTCACAAACCCTGGAGCTTGTTGGGGGTCATGGAGGGTTCTGGATAGTAGATGGGGACAGAAAGGGGTTAACCCAGAGTAGGTACACAGGGAAGTTGGTGCCTGTATATTTTATGTATTTAAGTGTTGCACACGCATTTGGGATGGCTAAGGGGAGTACAGAAAACCATGATTTTCTTTTTTTTTAAATTGCATGACTTTTTAGGGTGTTCATTCATGATTTTTGAATTCTTGGGTGTTGGCAATTCTATGTTCTTCTCCCATAGAATCATAGAATATCAGGGTTGGAAGGGACCTCAGGAGGTCATCTCGTCCAACCCCCTGCTCGAAGCAGGACCAATCCCCAACTAAATCATCCCAGCCAGGGCTTTGTCAAGCCTGACATTAAAAACTTCTAAGGAAGGAGATTCCACCACCTCCCTAGGTAACGTATTCCAGTGTTTCACCACCCTCCTAGTGAAAAAGTTTTTCCTAATATGCAACCTAAACCTCCCCCTCTGCAACTTGAGACCATTACTCCTTGTTCTGTCATCAGCTACTACTGAGAACAGTCTAGATCCATCCTCTTTGGAACCCACTTTCAGGTAGTTTTTTTAAACCCTTGACAGAGTTTAAAAAAAACTGAACACTTAATGTTCTGCACTGTTTATAGTAGCTGGACAATATTCAGGCCATTGTTTTGAACTTCAAAGCACAAATGTACTAAAATTTAATGGTGTGTCGCATATCTCACAAACAGCTCAAAACAATGGCATTACCCAATCTTTAACTCTAGGACACATTTAGGTTTTCTGGTTTGTGGTGGTTATTTTTCTATTTTTTGTTTATTTTTAGACAAATTATGACTCATTATTAGGAGTAAAAAAATCAATTGTTTTTAAAAAATAAACCCATTTCCCTTGAATTGTCTAAAAAAAAAGAAAAAATTGGCCCCCCCACTGGAGTTCCACACTCCTGGAATCTGCTCCAAACAAGTGTGGGGAGCTTGGTAAGGCTTGCTGGCTCCCTCAGTAGGCAACTTTCAGTACTGAAGAAATTGTACATTTTAAGTAATCTTGAAAATCCTGTTCTCGAATTCTTCAGTTGTACTTTGTCACTAAAACAGGCAACCTTGCATGTTAGCTTCAGCCTTATAAAAAAAAATCCATGCTAATTCCTCCTTTTGTACTAAGACTAGCAAAAGTTTCCGTTTTTTGTAGCTTAAGCAACATGGCACCATGTGATTGAGTCACCCTCACTGCTAATTAGCTTACCACATCCAATGCTAAAAGGTCAGCTAAATGTGCATCTTAGAATATGTAGTCCTGTAAGATAGCTATATATGTAGGAAAATGTCTGGTTTGAAGTATTTGAACTTTTCCAAGCCTGAAATACTGTTTTTCAAGCCACTTAAGGGCTTATGTCATTCTTACAAAGAAATGAGCTGTGGCATTAAAAGGGGCTGTAGTTAGGACTATTGGCATAACAAAGCTGATGAATCCAAAATTGTCAGCCTTCAGAAGAACTATAGATCAATCTGTCTTTGCTCAAATAGTGTCTCCAAATTAGTATCCAGTTTAAATCATGTGAAATGGAATATCTTTTTGTGAATAAGTGTGTGGTTTTGCTTAGCATTTTGATTTAGTCTACCATACGCTGTTTTTAAAACGTCTTGTAATGCTAGAAGACAGCTCTCCACCTACAGACCAAGGGGATTGTTTTGGGTGCCAAAATATAGGGCTCAATTTTGAAAATGTGGGGAAACAGGCAAGAGCATTGTTAAATTTCAGGTTCTAAAAATAATCCGATGTTGCATAATTATTCCTGAAACTAATTGTAACTGATAAGCACTTAGGGAAGTTCAGTTTCGCAACAGAACAAGAACCACACAATTTTACCTTCTGTCAATTTAGTTGTTTAAATTAATGTACAGTAGATGTTTGAATAATCAGAAAGCATGTGCCTACTGCTCTGTAGTGTATGCCAAGGTCTTGGATTTTAAGCAGCTTAATACGTTGGCTACCTGCAGCCTTCAGGTGAGAAAAGCGCTGCCAGTAGACACAGAAGATATTTGCTCACAGCTGCTCCTGGTATAATGAACCTGAACTAAAAAATATAATTTATCACAGTTGGCCCTACAAATCGAGAGGCCCTGCATCTTTACATTTTACATATGCATACAGAACCATAGAAATAGAATGCCCCTAAGACTCAAGGATTAGTGAAGTGGTACTGAATGAGAAATGTATTCCACATGCATCTTCATCAGTTATTCAATTATAGGAATGGAATAATCAATCATGCTGTTCTCTTGTGCATTGAATAAAGCAACAAATGAATAACAATCACAGTAGTCAGTCTGTCAGACGCCAGATTAGGAGTTGGTAGTGGTCAAACTGCATACCCTTTGTGTAGCTGCTGACCTATTTAAGTGAACATCTTACTTCCATATTATGATCTCATTGAATATACTGTAATGTTTACCCCTCATGCTTTAAATACAGCTTATCTCAAACCGTGCTGTGATACACAAGAATTGGAGCTTTTTGAGGGCTAGAATAGGAATCTTATTCCTGTTGAAATAACAAGGAAGGGAATCATTCCTGATGGCAGCTGTCTTGGAGCAGGGAAATGAAGTGTGAATCCGTAGGTGTGGTAACCCAGCTTTTATTTTTATTTTTAAATGGGAAAATCCCAGCCCATTTTAAACATTGCTGACATCAAAACCTTTATTCAGCATCCTCCCATGTCACTGTGCTTACCTTGCAGGTAACATTTTAGTGATTATTTTTTTGTTTTTGTTTTTAATGTTCATGGTAAGGCAGAGACTGGAATCCTAATACTCATCAAGTTAGTTTACACTAATTTCCCACTTTCAGGAGTGTGCTCTTTGTTAAATAACTTCATGCTTAGACATTCATTAATAATTATATAATAAACTATTTTTTAAATTATACTTATGAAAAATGTTTTCATGAGGAAGTCTTAAAAATGCACAAGTGGCTTCAGTTGCTCTTTCATAGACAAATCACTGAGTAAGGTGTTATCTTAAAGTGGATTTGACTTATCTTTCCAGATACAGTTAAAAAACTTCAGGACCAAAAGCATGACATGGAAAGAGAAATAAAGACTCTTCACAGGAGGCTGCGGGTAGGTTAACACCTACAACCCAGTGTGCAACGGAACACTAAAAGAGGTGGGGGGACACCGTAAGAGTGGTACATGAGACATCATCCAGCAATAAACATATATAGTACAGTCTGCCTGTCCTTCCCTGCATACTGCTCTAAAAATATACCAGAAATGTTTCAAGGCTGTGTAATAGTGTACATAGGATTTCAATATGTATAGGTAGAATTACTTACTGGGTATTAATGGTGTTGACCAAAGACAAAGCACATGACAGACGTACTAATGGGGGGGAAGTGAATATTACTGTGTTTAAAAGCAGTTTGAATAATTTTGGGGAGAGGGGCATCAGCTCAAGGATGAAGTTAAATACTTCATCTTGGGATAAATTTACTAAACGGTTAAAGAATTCACTATCTTTCCTTTTTGTAGATAAAAGGAAATTTTAGGACCTCCCCAATTCTCCTGCTCCAAAACCCCAAAGCTGATTACTGATTAAATTATCTTCATATTTAAGATTTGTAACTTTAGTGTTTTGCTTTTGGACTGTCAAATATGAGTACTTTTACCACCCACTTAAATCTTCCACTCTGAGAGTTCAGTGGAACTTTGCATCAGCATAATTCTTTGATTTCAAACTCCTAGTTGCTGCTGTTTACAGTTTTGGTTATTTATAGGAGGAGTCCGCAGAATGGCGTCAGTTCCAAGCTGATCTACAGACAGCAGTGGTCATAGCAAACGATATCAAATCTGAGGCCCAAGAGGAGATAGGAGACCTAAAGCGTAGACTGCATGAGTCTCAGGAGAAAAATGAGAAGCTCACTAAAGAGCTGGAAGAAATAAAGTCACGCAAGTATGTTGATGAAAACTGAGTTATGTATTTTTTTTGCTTTTACACAATTAGAGATGTTAATTTCTTAACTGTCACTGTTGAGACTCATGGAAAGTCACAGAGCTAGACTGACATTTTGAGGCAAGATAATTTCAGCCTAAGATCTCTCTGCATGCTTCTAGGAACAATTTTGAAAGAATGGGCGAACCTTGTAAGAGAGAGGGTTTTTTTTTTCATAGGTGGCCTCTTAATTTTCTGCAATGGAGGAAATGTACCTGTTTTGGCATTTTCACGCGCACACAAAAAGGAAAGTCATTAGTCTGTTTTTAGTCACAAATAAGAGTCGATGACTTGGGTTTAACTTCCCGAGTAGGGCATGGAAAGCAAGCAACGAATGTCTCTTCCGTGCTGTTGCAAGTATAGGTGAGTCGCATCATACGTGCATTTAACTTACGCGGATTCAACTATATGCGTTCGGGGGAAAAAAAAAAGGAAAATAAGATACCTGTAAATAGTGCAGGCGATTCCGCCCACCATTCCACTCAATGAGCATATGCCCCAGAGAGAGCGTGAGATGGGAGATGTGAATCTGCTGTTCCCTCAGTCAGTCTCAATTCCCGCGTGCCTCTCATAGTGTGAGCATCTCGTCGCGCTGAGTGTGATTCTAGTGTTTAAAGATACTGAACGTATTTTTCATAAAACATGGCCCCTAAACGCAAGCCAACTACTTCATCTGGTGCTCAACCGAAGAAACAGCGATCTGTTCCAATGCTGGAGAAAAACTGGCTGTGTTGGACTTACTGAGAGACAGTATGTCCGTCTCCAATGCAGCACATAAATATGGCCGCAACGAATCTAGCATCCATGCCATCAAGATTCAAGAGAGAGAAATTCGTCAAGCCGTGGCATCAAATGCTCCAATGACTGCTAAGGTGATGAGCCAGGTGTGTGTTTGTGAACACTGAAAAGGCATTAAACTTATGGCTGGAAGACATGAACTGTAAACGTGTGCCTATCGATGGCAACACTTTGCGAGAAAAGGCTCTCAGCCTCTATGCCCTGTTCAAACCTCCTGCCGAAGAGGGACAGCCTTCTGATTAGAAGGAATTCAAAGCCAGCCAAGGTTGGCTTAACAGTTTTAGGAACTGCTTCAACCTCAAAAACATGCAAACTACCGGTGAAGCTGCATCTGCCAATGAAGAGGCAGGAAAAGCCTACCCCCGAACAATTAAAGAAAATCACAGAAGAAAAGGGCTATCTTCTGGAACAAGTTTTTAATGCTGACGAGACTGGGCTTTTCTGGAAAAAAATGCTCAACCGCACTAACGCTTTGAAATCAAAAAGACAAGCCCCTGGCTTCAAAGCAGCTAAAGACCGTGTGACTGTGTTTTGTGGCAATGCGGCTGGGCATTTAATAAAGCCGGGCTTGCTCTACAGGGCTGCAAATCCCCGTGCCCTAAAAGGCAAAAACAGAAATTTCCTGCCTGTGTTCTGGCAATTAAATAAAAAGTCTTGGGTGATGGCAGAATTATTTCTGGAGTGGTTCCACAAGTGTTTCATTCCAGAGGTTGAGCGGTACCTCGAAGAGAAAGGACTTGACTTGAAAGTGTTGCTGATCGTAGACAATGCTCCTGGCCACCCTGCGGCACTCCGGTTTGTGCATAACTACGTTGAAGTTGTCTTTCTCCCTGCCCCAATACCACCTCCAACCTCTTGACCAAGGCGTGATACGCTGTTTCAAGGCCACGTACACGAGGCTTATGGATACATAGCGCTATGGATGCTGATACCAATCTTAATGTGATGGAGTGTATACTGTACTTTATGGGAGATTTAAGGGATTTTCAAGGGTAATTTTTACTATAGGCGATTTTTGCCTTACGCACTGACTTTAGAATCTAATCCCCGCGTAAGATGCGACTCCACTGTATATTTTGTGTAGCTGTCAGGCCCTCTAGAGGGGAGCAAAACACAAGATTATCTTACTATGGAGAAGGGAGGGTTTGATTCTTGACAGCTAAGCTACTCAGATAAAAGATGTTAGATTCTCACTTGTGATCTGTTGTAGCTTGAATTGAGACAGAAATCCCTAGGAGTTCTACAAGAGATGGTTACTTCTAGATAATCTACATAGACTGGTAATGTGAACCAATTTCTCTTGGAATATTAGAAGGCATACAACCTACTTAAACCTGGGCATTCTCGTATCTGGTATTTGATTTCTAATTATGGCCTTGATTTCTTTGAGGCTAGAGTTTTACAAATGACTATGATCAGTCAGTTTCAAAGGAAAGGAGTTTGTCCAGTCAGATAGGTAATGCTTAGTTTCTTTGAAGCAGGGGATAGTCTTTTTGCTGACTTTATACAGTGACTAGCACAGTGGTGCCTGTAGTTGCTACTGCAACACTTAATTACTGCAGTAATTTAATTTTTTCCCTAAAATACCATCAGAAAATAATCTGTTAATATTACTGTGTAGCTCATTCCATGAACTTCTAGCAGTGTGCTATTTAAAAAATAGAATGAGAAACCAATCACTAAAAGCCTCACCTTTAAAAGGGACTTTCCTATATATTGAACAGAAGCCGATACAGTATGCTTCTTACCTAAAATTAAATTATGCTTATAGCACTTTGGAAAACCGGCAACTTGGATTTTCTGCAGTTGATGTCAACTTTCTTCAATAATAAGCCTTTGCCTCATAATCAACTGGTTGTGGAGGGTTTTTTGTAGTAGTGATTTTTCAGTGATCCTAATTACATCAGTAGGGCATCTTTCAAAAAAGCACAAAATTCAGTCTTCAATGAATCCATAGCTCATACAGCTCAGACACAATTCATGTTTTCCCCTGTCCTGCCAATCTACCTGAGCCCTGACTACTAGTTCTCTCTAGGAATTAAAGAATAGTTTGGTCTCCATGGCTATTTGGTCCTTTTGATTCAGACTGGAGACTCGGCAGTTACAGTTATGTTTGTGACGTGTATACATGTTCCCATTATTAAAACCTTCTATAAAGAGCCATGTAAATTAACACTGATAAACACTTTGTAAATACAGATATAAATCTTTGAACACCAGAGTGGGGTGAGATTATTTTTGCAGTGGAATTTTGCACAGGCTGCATATGTGAAATGCAGAGAGCAGACTGGAGGAGGATATAATTGAAAATAAGAGTTGACCTGGATGGTGAGGGTAAAGCAGATTAATCTGAAGTGAAGCTACCCATTTGAATAGGCTGTCAGGTAGTAAAACTCCTGATTACTATTGGCCTAGAAGATACTCATACCACGAGTTTAGAGAGATTAATGCCTTAAGTCATAATGTTATAGCACCCACTTTTGATAGGAATTTCTAACCTAATCTTTGCATTTTCAAAATAGGAAGTTTGCAATTTATGCTTTGCATTATAGGGATCTGGCATCTAGATCTAGAAAATCTGTTATGTTGAAATTAATCAGACTAATTGTGAGTTGTTTGAATCCCCTTGTTGAAGCTAAGGCTTGACTTGCAGTATCAATTCACTACCCTGGTGGGTAAAATATATTGGAACAATAAATGTACTGCCTGCAAATCAGCTAGAATTCATTTTTCCTTGGAATCTGTGTTAACAATGTAACAGAATCATTTACCAAATGTCAACTTGAAAATAAGCCTTTTATGCGGTAGTCGCACTTTGGGATGTCGGAAGCCTGTTGCTTGGTTTGTTCTGATACTGATTCCAGAAGTGCTTTCTAAATCCATATTACTTGCAGATGGAGGTAAAATAACATACTGGTCATTGGTTTCCTAAGAACAAAGAATTCAAAAGTAGCTGAAAATGATTCTTTAAAAACTTGTTGTAAGATTCCAGAAGAAGAGAAATGGTATAGCTGTTGAAAAATTTAGTTAGCATGGTATTTGATCTGAAACTGAGGCAATGAATAACATCTCAGATCCCGGGGCGCGAGGGGACTTTCTCCAGACAGAATGACGGTTTTTCCATCAGAGTGCCAGTGAATGTCATAACCAACATAAACTTAGGTTGAAAGGGCCCTTCCATTCTAAATTTTAGTGTCCTTTGGGTTGCAACTAGAATTCAGGTTTCAGAGGAACAGCCGTGTTAGTCTGTATTCGCAAAAAGAAAAGGAGTACTTGTGGCACCTTAGAGACTAACCAATTTATAGTCTCTAAGGTGCCACAAGTACTCCTTTTCTTTTAACTAGAATTCAGTCTCAATTCAAAGCTGAACTTCAAAAATACATTTTTCCCTCTCCCACCCTACCGGTGCCACCACATTCCCCTCCCCCCAAAAAAGAGTTGAGCCTTCTTTACTTATGCAGGCATAAAAAAAGTTTGCCCCCTTCAGAAATAATTGTAAAGGTTTATTTTGATGATTTCAGCAGATTAGTTTTTAATCTATGGCAAATTTGAAGTTTAACTCACTAGAAAACATAAGACCCAAAATTTGAGAGCCTTTCAGTTCACTTAGGGTCTCTTGTTGACAGATATTAAAGAAATTGACTGGTATCTAAGGCTGTTAATTTAAATCTAAATTACAATAAATAGCAAAGTAGGTTAATATAATGAGTAGAGTTATGAGCTCAATTCCTGTGTTTACATTTAAGCCTTTTGACATTAAGAAAATATTTTTCTGATGTGTCTAAGATGGCCTAGCTTTTGTTTACAGGCAGGAAGAGGAACGTGGCCGAGTATACAATTACATGAATGCTGTAGAGAGGGATTTGGCAGCTCTGAGACAAGGAATGGGGCTGAGTCGGAGGTCCTCCACTTCCTCGGAGCCAACTCCCACCGTAAAAACACTAATCAAATCCTTCGACAGTGCCTCACAAGGTAATTACTTCTAGCCAGTGTAGTAGTTGTACAAAGTTAGAGGTTTATGTATGTTGACATGTATGCTTCTGATCTGGCTGATTCAAAATGCAGCTGCATGAAACTACAATAGTAACCTACAGATGCTGTCTGAAACAAACCCACGTACAATAAATTGCATTACTGGGGTACATTACTGTTAAAGAATTATCCTTTCTCTTTCTCTTCCTCTTCTCTCCCCAACCCCAGGGGTTGAATGTTCTCTATTCCTCACTGTCACTTACCTAGTGATTTGGACAGTAGAGGCTTTGTGATTCAGCACTCACTCAACAGGAATATAATACCAATTGTACACTCAGCTGTGTCCCCAGCTTAAGGATATATTCAGTATTCCCATTAAGACACTGACATTAATACATGCCCCCAAAGAGCATCCTAGAAGCTATATTATGACTAGCACCAAGTTTTTCAAAAAATGCCTGAGCTCCTAAAATCCATATTTTAGTGCCTGTCAGAGAAGTGCCGACCCTCCTTCTCCCATTTACCTCAGTGGGAACTATTGGGCACTCGGCACTTTAGGAAATGGGACCTGTAGATTTAGAGCCTGACTTTAAGGTCCTGTTTCTGAAGAGTTGTTATACAAATTTAGGGCTTATCTACATGGTGAAATAATGCATTTTCTGGGCTTGTGATGTCCAAAGCACACTAATGCATTGTACCTTATTTAGTCTGTGTAGATCCTGCTGGTGTGTACTAAAAGTTTCCTAGTGCACTATACCAGTGCTTGAAACAGCATTACATTAAATCGTACTAGGGAACGATAGTAAGTAAGCACCAGTAGGATCTACCAGACCAATTAACGTACAACACATTAGTGTGCTTTAGAAATTGTATCCCCCATAGAGCACATTACCCCAAGTTGTAGACAAGCCCTTAGTCTCATTTACATTAAAACAGCTTTAAATTGCTCTCGTAGTACAAAGGGGCCTTAATGTGAGTGTAAATTACATTTACATACACTTTAAGGTCCCTTAGTGCTACCAGAGTGATATAAGCAGCCGTAATATAAATGGCATCCCACTTTTATGCTCACCACCTGAAGACCGTCATATGATTCAGTATAATCTATAAATCATATGGAGATTGTCATATTTTTACATCTGTGTTCTCCCTGTTAGTGTTTGTCTTTGTCGCTTTCAACCTCCTCCGTTCTAATTTGAGGGCTGTTAGTGTTTTTGCTGATGATAATTATGCAAAAAATTCTAGCAAAAGGAGGAAGTAACATGAGTGAATCAGCAGAAAACTTGCTCATCTGTGGCTTTGGATAAGGATCTGATTGCTCAGACAAATTATATCAAAATAAAAACTATCCTCCTGGTAAGAAATTTTACATCATTTGCTAGTCATGCAATTAGGGAATCAGCTGACTGGCTGAGCAAAATGAGGTTTACACACACTTTGATGGCACTTCTATCTGAAATTTGGAAAACTTGGAGCGGGGAGATGAAGGGGACTCTCAGTTCCTTGCATCTGATTAGCAGACCCAGCAAGTACAACTACCTCTGTGATTGTCTATAGATCAAATAACTTGTTGGTGGCAGCCATTAACATCTTCCAGCATAACAGTACCCCTTATCTTAGCTCTACCATTCTTCCCAATATAGTGTGAAAATGCTGACACCCTGAATGCTTCTCCAGAACAGAAAGAAAGGAAATTAGAATGGTGGCATGGTGGGTGGAATGGGGGTGTTCACAGAGCTCCTACCATGTGGAAGAGGAAATAGGGTTCCCTGTGGTGAAAGAGGGGAGGCCCTGATATGGGGGTTAGGAGGGAATGAGGGGGCACACAGCCCCTGGCTTGAGTGGGGAAATGGGGGTGATGGTATGTGGGGAGGATGTCCTGGGGGATACTCCAACCCCCTGAAATGTGGCGGAGAGATTAATGAATGGGAAATGGAGGACCCTAGCATGGGTGAATGTGAATTAGAGCCTCTGTCATGAAGGTGGGGATGGCTGGTTGCAGGGAGTCCCTGACATAAAGATGGATGGGTGCATGTTACACAGGCAGTTTGTGTGGGAAAGGGAGGAAAGTAAGGAGCCCCTGGTATGTGCAATGTACACTGCCAAGAGATGCAACAAAGAATGTAACCCTCTAAATCAGAAAACCAAAGCCACTTTTGGTATATAAAACTTCCAGTTAAGTATGGGGGAGAATATTTTTTTTGTGAACAGCTGGATACTGTAAATAGTTTTATATGGTTTCTGTTTTTTGATGTAGTGCAGGCTCATGTTAGGAGGTGACCAACGTGGTACTCTGAGCATTTTTGAAACTTTCAAAGTTGCTTTCCAAAAAATGAGCACTGCACAATATGAGCAAACAAAACACTTGTCAGGTTCTGCCCTTAAACAGTTGTCTTGACATGTGGCTATATGGCCACTTCTCCATTTGACTGAAAACCATGCTGCATTTGGGATAGCTTCCTTTTTATTTTTCCAGTAGTTCCAAGTCCTGCTACAGCCACAATTCCTCGCACTCCTCTCAGTCCAAGCCCCATGAAAACACCCCCAGCCGCTGCAGTGTCTCCTATGCAGGTAAGTGCATGTGATGGTATTTCATCCTTTGTTTGTCAAAGAAATCATGCAAAAGGAGGTGATGGTATTATACAGACGCTGATTGACTTTGTGGGCAACAGTAGTAAAATATTGCCTGAGGTAAAATAATTTCTAAATGTAGAGTTGGACAAAGGAACTGATACAGCCTAAGGGCACTTGAAAAAAATTATTGCCCTTAGAGCCCAGTTATGTTAGGGTGAAACAACCTCTCCCCCATATTTTACTGTTGATACAGAGGCAGTCTGTCCCTCTTCCCTCCCCATTTCCAAGGATGTTGTCAGGGCCAACTTTGCTTCCCATGGAGACACACTTCTGACTACCCTTTAAGCAATATTTTCTGTTGGGGTATATTCTAATGAAGGAACATCTTATTGCATGTACTGTTCGGTTATGTGACATCTTTAACCAACTGGAGTACTAGAAAAATTACCAAAGGTTTGTTTAATGCATGTGTAACTTGTAGGGTGTGGTGGTGGTGGTTTTCGGGCGGGGGGCGGGGGTTTCAGTAAGAAACACTGAAAAAGACAATTCTGTAGTCAGATACTAACTATTCCTGTGCTACTGAGAATTGATATTCTTGTAATATGGAAGACTAACTTCAATCTTCCTGAACTCGTCTGTCAGTTTTCAGTCCTCTGTCTCCTTTGGGCGATAGAGGTCATGCATCTGTGTGGGATTGGTCATCAGCCTTTGATACAAATTTATCAGTGTTGTGGGCCTCACTATAGGACCTGTATTAGAGGGATGAAGTCATAAATTGGCATTTTAATTCATTATATAGGGATCCAGAGAGTTACGTTCAACGTGTTGATGTACCCTAAGTTCTCTGTCCCCTTTCCAGCCTCCCACCCCTTTGGTCAACTGCTAGGGGAGAACATTAAGTATCACAGGATTGCATAGTTATCAGTATACTGAGAATATTGCTCAGTCTTGCTTTCTATGAACCTAGACACCGCTGTTTTGTTTTCTCAGTATCAGGATGATGTGTGGACGTGGACGAAAGCCAGCAGGGTTGGGCTCAGAACAGATAAGAGTAAAGGTAGTGGTGGTTGGCAGGATGAAGCATTTTAAGGAACTGGCAGTGCTCATTTCCTTCAGTGACAGTGTATGCTCACTTATCAGTAGTTCTTCTATTAGATTCAGAGTATTGGAGGCCAGAAATGCTGCCAATTTATTGTAATATGTGGTGGCACAATTTTACAATCGTTGTTGTGAGAGGAAGCACCTTTTTGAACCCTGGCTTGTGGCAGTGAAGGAATAATGTTTGAAACCTGTTGTCCAAGTATGGCAGCATTTTATAGTGCAGATATTGATAAGTCATATCCCTTCACACTGAGACTCAGATTCATAAGATGAATAGTTATAGCTTCAAAACAAAAGTGGAGAAATTAGATGTTTTAATCAGAAAATTTGTTGCTTTCTGTGGTTCAGTCAGCAGTGACAGTGTTTTTCAGAAGACAGCTGGGTCTGACTAGCTTTGTATCAGCTGGGGGTTCAGTCGGCATTGATCTGCCTTTATATTTTTTTCTTTGCTCATGAAAAGAGCATGCTTAATCTCACATTCTGAAAGGCTAGACTAGAGGTTTGGCAACACCAAAGGCTTTTCGCTGTAGCCTGAGGCTTATTTGCTTTATTTATTCATAAATTAACCATGAACTTCAGTTCTTTGTAACCAAAATAACATCTTAAACTAGTGGGGAGCTAGCACATGATGCCTGCTACTTTTCATTTGAGGTTCTCTGTCTGCCATAATTTGAATCTTGAATTGCACTTCTGGTGCACAAGCAGAATGTCAGAAGTGGGATGTTCTCTGGAATGGAAGTAACTCCCTGAAAAAGGAATATAATAGTGTAACAGAGCAACTTTCCCTCTAATTTCTTTTGAAAATAAGTGGTTTTACTGAATGTGTGTGACTATGCAGAGAGACTTTTCTGTGTTGACCTTATTTATGTTGTATTATATCTAAACAGCCATTTATAGTGAAGGAATGATATAATGAGGCCCAGAGAATTTCCATCATGTTACCACATTGATTTCTACTGTCTTCCCCTTGAAGGCACTAAATAATTCAGTTCAGCCTACTTCTTAGAATTTGTCTTCTATCAAGTCTCCCCTACCAATGATGTCAGCGTTAATATTCTGTTCATTATTCCTTCTCTAGTTACATTGGGAATCAAGATTTAAGAGTGTGACAGCCTGGGACAGTTCCAAGTTTGTCATTGTGGCCATGAGATCTGAGTTAAGCTGGAAGGGTTGTCCACTGCACGAGTACTGAAATCCTTTAGAACAAGTCTAATCTTGAGCTAGCATACTAAAGACATTGATGTGGCTGCAGTGGCACAAGCAGTAGCTTGGGCTAGCTGCCTGAGCACAATCGTGCCAGACCCCCTGGTTCATCCTCGGGTGCCTAGCCTGAGTCACTGCCCATGCTGCTGTTTTTATTGCACTAGCCTGAGCAGAGCTAGCCCATATCTATGTGCTATGGGAAGCATGCTGTATGTGGCAGGGTAGACATACATACCCTTGCTGACTCAGTTTCTTTGTGGTAGCACTTGTCTGATCAAGTAGTGACTCTGGGTCAGTATGACAATCTGTATGCCAACACAAATCCCATTTATTCCCATCCTGGTATTCTTGTAAGATAGACAGACTGTCAAAACCAGGTTTTGGAGTGAGACCCATCTCCATTTAAGACCAGATGCAAACATAGGCATAACACCTCCTTTAACCTCCCTTGATGATCCAAGTCAGTATCATTGTGTGATAGAACATCACAGCCCAATTATAGCATGTTGCTGTTTAATATTTTCAATGCAAATCTTGCTACTCTCTTCCAGTTCAGAAAAGGAAAGCATTAAGGTGTCTCTTTTGTTCTTACTTGAATTCTCTCTTCACTCCAGTCCTGGCTGTTGAGACAGGTATTTCTCCTCTTTTCCTTCTTCTGCTGATCTCAGTTCCCTAGACTACTGGTAGGCTGGTTTCTGTGATTTGATCCATTTTATCAGCACTCAAACTATCTTATGTGTGTCAGGCATCTCTAGCAAATCTAATGTGTGAATATTAAACATTTTGTTTAATATTTTTAATCTTACTTTATGCACCTATAAGGATTACAAAGTATAGTCGTAACTGCAGCATATCTAGGATTTGTTATGCCCTCCACTAAAATGCAGTCAACATGGTGGTGGAGTAGAGCAGCTGTTTAACAGTGCATACCTATGTTGCAAAACACTTTAGCAAAAGAGGTGTCTGTCTGTACTTCAGTGTCACTTCAGTAGGAGGATGTCACCAACATTGCGCTTAAATGCCAGTGTCATCTTTAACTTTGCTGAGCAAACTGGGTTATGTTTAATCTACTATTTTAAATTACTTTTGACTCGACTGCAACATTCAAGTCTTACATGCATTTTCCTGCTCTGTGCTGATGAGTGACATCGGCAAGTGTAGCTCAGCATGGTGTTTCACCCCTCCATTTTCACCTCAGCCGAAAAGCACATAGGCAGAGCGATAAGATTTAGTCAAAGTGGAGTATTTCTGTGATTGTCACTGTTACTCCTTAAACTGTGATAGCAAAAATTCCTCAGTTTCTAACTTTTTTTTCCCTCTCTGCTGGTGTTTGCAACAATGGAGCCCTAGAGTTGACTTGCTACCTATATTGTAATCACGGTCATCTAGCTCAAAGCAGGTCTAACTGACAGCTGGCAGCCCCGTTACACTAAGGCTCCTACCACGGATTTATCTGAACTGGTGCTGGCAATAATGGGGAATTTTTGCAAAATTTCCCATGTGTAGATCAGGTTTCATCTCAATGTCTGAGTGAGGCACTCAATGTAAAAGTACAAAAGAAGATATCTCCTTCGATGGGGAATTAAGAGTAGTATATTTCTCTCTCAGTAGCTAGAAAACTGATAAAACAGGGTTAAGAGAAAAACTGAATACATAGTTTTCTCCCTTTTTTTTTTTCCTGGAAAGCACTATTTTTTAAAATGTTGTATATGTAATTCTCATTAACCTGGACTAATAGCATTAAGGTCTTAGAGTGTAAGCTCTTCATTGCAGGGACCATGTCTGCCTCTGCTTGTACAGCACCTAGCAAAAGGGGACCCAGTCCTGATTAGGCCCTCTGTAATTAGGCTCTACTGTAATATAAATATATAATAACTTACAGATAAGCAGACAGAGATTGGTAATGTGTGCTGGCTTCCCCACGCACTTTTTACAACTAACCTGAGGTACTCAGGATTATGGTTTAGCGATGTTTACCAATGTCCACCAGGGATTTAAACTACAATCTTTGGAGGTTAATGGGCTAACTCAGTCCATCACCATTCTGCCTCTCAAATTGAAAAACCTATGTACATACAGATTACTTTCCTTTTTTAAAGGATTATGTATGTTTCTATTTCTCTTTATGAATCGATTAGTAACTCCCATTGTTCTAGCCTGGGTGATTTCCAGGAAACCTAACTTAATCAAATTATTTTCTGCATGATGGATTTCTGTATTAACCTAAGAAAGTACCAACACCATAACATTTAAAATTAGATTTTTGATGTCTGAAACTGTTAACTTAATTATTTATGCTAACAGATAATAAGCAGGAGATCATTACTATCTAGCAGAACTTTTGCCTTCAGCCTGAAAATGTCAGTGAGAAAAAAGTAACTGACATTAAATTTTCTTATTATTAGTGAGATTGTGTACTTGCTGTTCCTCTCTTAGCATAGTAAATCTTATTTCTAATTCTGAGACCACTTTTTTGTTAAACATATTAGGCCAGATTCATCCTTACTCCAGGGGTAAATTAATCTGTATTTCTATTTGAAAGTAAATATCAATAATACTTTTCCCCTCCGCTGTTAATGTTTTCTAGGCATTTTTAGTTTTGGTTTTAGCTCTCCAATGTGGTTTAGAATAAGCCTGCGCGTTTGCTGGCAAACAGGAATGTACATTTTGCTGACTCCTATATAGTATCTGGTATATTTATATCAAACTTATTTTTTATATAAAGAGCAAGTATAATTTTACTTTTTATAAAATACCTTTATGTTTTGGGAACAGCCCTGAATGGAAGGTCCAGTTTATTTAAGACTGTGGACATCTTTCATTATACAGTTCATTCAAATGAGCCTGATTTTAACATCCTCACCCCTTTCCTCCTGCGAGTTCTTAATGTAGTTTGAAAAGTGACCACAAGGAGCTACAGAATACAGATTGCAGAAAGTCTTTTATATCAATATTTAATATTATGACTCACATCTGTGCACCCTTCATTGTTTGTATTGAAGACGTGTATCCCTTTTGTCCTTTTGATAACATTTTGTTTTTAGTATTGTGGGCTTTGACTGTTGACATGTCCAGTTCCTCAGAACTGGCTTGTAGGAGTCAGTTAATGTTACACTTAAAGCGCAGTTCTAGTGACAAATCTAGTCCAACAGTGACTTTGTGGGGTTTCTTAGGGGTTTTGTTTTTTTTGGCGGGGGGGAGGGGGTCAGGTTCCATACTAGTGTCTGATTCTATATCAAATGAGTTTAGTTTACAAGTAAAGTGTGTAACGCCATCCCTTATGCTCATCGTAGGCTCAGTCAAGTAAAATTGTTTCTTGCACCTCATCATGTGTAATTAAGGTTCTGCAGGGCAGATTATTCCCTTAGTGACATCTGTGCTGCATGTCACTGTCTTAGTAGGCTAGTGCAGATGTTGCTGGTTGGAACCTGATAAATAATTCAGTTGATCCATTTCCCCCTAAAATGTCGCAGAATGTCTGTGGCCTGGCTACGATAGTGCAAACACAGGTAGTATGAATGACTGAAAATTCTAGGGGAAATTAGCTAGAGCAGACATGGCTGGATATAATGGTATTGGCTCTGAAGTGCCAACAGAAGTAAAAAGCAGAAAACCAAACCAACTTGTTTTATGACAAATAGAAATGACTAACATACCGAAAATTACCAGCTGAGTAAAACTGTCACTTATTTGACCCTATCTCAAAGAATGTTTGTTTTTAAAGTACTGTACATAGTAGAACTTGGGGGTTGGGGAAGTAGTATTGAAACATGGGTAGGTGGAGGTCTGGAGCTATGTTCCCTTGCTTCCAGGCTAGGAATACTGTGGAGGCTCCATGTTTACATAGGCTTTAGCAGGAGCTTTCTCCTGGAGGTGGGGGAGGTTTCCACTAATGTGGAGTCTTTGAGGATGGTAGAATTGGAAAGGGAGGTCTTCCTCATCCTCTATGCCAATGGTTTTCAGACTTTTTTGGCTGTGTACCCCTTTCCAAATAATACAGTCTAATACGTACCCTCATCTGAAATAGGGACATAATATGCCTATGATTAGATTGCCAAGTCTTACTAAATAAAATGCGTTGTCCACCATTACAGGATTTTTCTCACATACCCCCTGACGAGAGCTCGCATAACCCAGTTTGAAAACCACTGCTGTATGCTAAGAGTGCTGGAGTGCTTACAGGGCTAGCCCAAAGATAGGCAATGCAGCAGGTGATTGCCTGATGATCCTTGGTAGAGGAAAGTGTTTAAAAACAAACCCTTTGAGGGGTGGGTTTGTTTTTGTTTTTAAAGAAGGTGAGGGGTGGAGGATCTTAGAAAAATATGGGACAGGTTTAGGTTTAAATCTTACAATCCTTACTGCTGTACTGTCAAGAGTTTTGGCTTCTCAATTTTGGCAGGCCAGGTACAATTATGTTTAATATTTGGGAGAGGCATAGCCCCCAGGACATCAGTGGGAAGCCTTGATTGAGTTGAGACTGTGTGTGATCTGAGTAAACAGTGCCTAGCCAAAATAAAATGTATTTATTCCTCTTTTTTAATTTTATCCTTTCTTTCAGTTATAGCTGTTATTTCCTTTTCCTTTGTAAAATAGGGAAATTCACTCTGACATGGTGGTTAAAGTTTCTGAATAAGTGGAGAACATTAGCTTTTAAAATTAGCTATCAGAAGCAATTTCATGCATGGATTAGAACTAGCTCTCCCAGGGTTTACTTGATTTGCAGTTGACAGCATGTTTAAACAAAGAAATATCCATCTTTATAGCATAATCTGATAATGAAGTGATGAAATACAATTCCTCTTGCTATATTATGGGGGTTAGACTCCTGGACATTGGCAGTTTTCTCATTTTCTTGCCAGTGCAAAAAGGTTGTTATATATGAGAGCCACGCTAGAGTAAGTAGCCTGGTAATCCTGTGTATGCAAGCACATGTTGCAAACTCTATACTTTAAGGTTGTTTTTTTGTGTTTTTTATCTTATCTTTGGGTTTAGCTTCTCTACATGACTTGGCATGAGAAGCACCTGAGCCTTTAAATCTCCTGAAGATAAGGGGGCCCACTCATTTAGCCATCTTATCTTAGCATGGGCCAGATGGGAAGTTGACAGGGTGTTCATTTTGAACTCTTTAGTGGGCTGATCAGATAGTTAAGAGGGACAAGGGAAGTAAATAATGAAGGTATACTATAACTTGCGTTAGATATTTTGAAACCAAATTAAATTTTCCAGGAAATAATGCAAATAGTCTTTCCTGATTCCCTCTGTAAATTAACTGCTGTCTTGGTGACTGTAGAGAATGATTATCAAACTGTACAGTTCATTCAACTACTGAAAGAATAGTGTGTGCATCCAGTAGGTGTGTTTACTTCACTGGAAAATACTGCAAATTGACACTTTTGGAAACAAGGCAGATTCAGACATATAGTGGTAGAATGGCAACATGCTGTACGCAAAATCCAGATTTCAGAACAAATATGTAATTCCACAATTATAGCCTATTGATTCCAAAACAGTAGTCCACACATGGTTTGCATGTGATCTGTGGAACACTATCGGATCACACAATGCTGGCTCTCCTTCTTTTCAGAGAGTAAAGCTTCATTACAGCTAAAAATATGTAAATGCTTACAAAGAAAAATATTAGGAAAGTAGTTGCTGTAGTTCCTCAATGATGGTATCCAGAAGGCTGTGCTTGAATGGAACGTGAGGTCTCCTGACGACAGTATACTATGAAAAAGATTGTTATGTACTTAACAGTGGAGTCAGCATGTCACAAAAATCAACATTAAAGTGCAGCTCTACTCTGAAAGTGAGTGTAGACAGAGCATTTTGGAGTTCCACTGTTTTGTCAGTGAGTTTCCACAAGTGTAACTGGTTGGAATTTAGTAAATTCAGTTGAACAAGGAAAAAATAAAAAATCCAGCTCAATTTTTGTCAAGTAGGCTCTGTAAAGAGCAGTGAGAACTTACTTGTATCACTAAAAAGATGTGACACTGGATTCACAAAGGCCAAAAATATGTTAAAATTGTGCTAATTTTACATAGTTACCTTTCAGAGTAGAACTGCTATTCAGAGGACCTTCATACGAAAAGTAATTAGATTGATATCATGAAGTATGATAAATGTTTAACAAAGATATTTACTTTCAGCTGTTTGTAGAGTGCTTCAAATTAAATAGGTGTTAACCAAACCAAACTGTCATTCTGAATAAAAATCACTCTTTGATTTGATTTTTCAGTTCCTTGGTACCTGTTATGTCAAACCTACTATCGTTTGGTAAATGGGACCTTCGTGTGAATAATGTAAATGCACAGGCAGTAAGACTTAGGGCTTGTCTACACGTAGAAGTTGCACCAGTTTAACTAAAGGTGCAATATTAAACCAGTGCAGTTGTGTGTGTGGACTCTTTCCACATTTTATACACACAGCTGCATTGGTTTAATATTTCAGTTTTAGTTAAACTGGTGCAATGTCTGTGTGTAGACCAGGTCTCAGATGAAAAAGTAACATTTGCCTTCTTTATTTATCTCACAGAAGCAAAAATGAGCATGAATTCTCTTTTCATGTTGCCTTATGCCAACCTGAATATATTTATGCCACATTCTGACACCACGATAAGTGTACTGGTTCTTTTTGTTAAGCTGACTTTATACAGTTATTAACTCCTCAAACTAGAGGTTACTTGCTTTACAGTCCATTTTGATGGTTCCTCTTTATCTTCAAATTAAATATGTTACTATATGATATCTTGCTGTTTCAGAGGCATTCTATAAGTGGACCAATATCAACCTCCAAACCCCTTACACCTTTGTCAGACAAAAGACCAAGCTATGCAGAAATCCCTGTTCAAGGTATGTGTTCTACTTCATTAGCTTTACTTCTTGTAAAACTTATGCTACCATTGGCTTGTAATTGGTATCTTTAATATAAAGAGTAAAGTGGGTAGTGGTGCTTTCACCTTTTTTTTTTTTTTTTTTCTTACTGAGAAAAAATATAAACACTGAGTGAGTGTGACTTGGACCCACAAAAACTAGGAATTTCAGAGAGAGGCTGAAACACAAAACCTTGGTGCATTTCAGTATATATGTCTGTTATCAAAAAGATACATGGAGAGAGACTAATTCTCAAGAAATGTACATTTTTTTCACTGCAGTTCAAGAATTGATATCCCAAAACAAATAATTCCTGGTACTTTTTTGAATGTTGTAGCTGTTTGCACAATTAATCTGTCTTTAAAAATTGTTGCCAAAGTTTATTAAACACATTCCATAGATAATCCCAGTTCAAAAGGTTGAGGGGATCCTGAGCATCCGAATATTTTTCTTTACTTATAAAGACCCTTGAAAGGATTCAGTTTTTGTTTGTATGGATTGCAATAGCCAGAGTGGTTTTAATTAAATATTGTTTACTTGAAATTACATTAATTATTCAGAACAGATTCATAAATGAAATCCTAAGTCATATTTCATTATGACTTTTTATTGTTAATTTGACATGAAAAGAATATATAGCTTTTTCTACAAGTGCAACGTGTAACTAACGGCAAATTGATTTGTGTGGAATGAACATTTACTGACACTGGCCAGTTTTACATGTAACTCTTCCAGATCTAACTTATGACAGTAGATGGCCTTTTTTATGAGCCACGTAGTTTCTGTCTCCTGAATGTGCAGCAAACAGCTTTTAGAAACTCTTCACTTATGCAGCTTGCACCTGCTATTAAGTTGTGATCATTCCTTTCATTTTCAATCTGATAACTTTAGCTTGTAATATATCAGAATTCTAATGTTTCACTGTCAACAGCCTTGTCAATTACCGTAAGTACAATTCATTTTTATAGACTAGTACCACACACAGGCTAGTACATTGGAATTGGTTACCTCAGCCGTTCCCATCAGGGCATTCCTCACCATAAACACTGGTTTCCTCCCATCAAGTATTTGACACACTATATAATTTATATTTAAATGAAATTTCCAGGTGTGTATCTTCCCTCATTCATTGTTTCATGGGTTATAGTTAAAGCTAAGATTTTCGTCATGGTTTTTATTAGTAAAAGTCACGGACATGTCATGGGCAATAAACAAAAATTCACGGAAGCTGTGACCTGTCCGTGACTTTTGCTGCTGTGGCTCCTTGGTTTTCGGTGGCTGGGAGCTGTGGGGTTCCCCCTCTGCTCGCGGCATCTGAAAGCTGCATGGGGGCCTTCCTCCGCTCACGGCAGCTGGGAGCTGCAAGGTGACCATATTTCCCAGAGAGAAAACTGGACACTCCCAGCCACTCACCTGAGACATCTCTTCCCACTCCCTCCTTGCAAGGCTGTCGCCCATTACTGGAATCCTGAGGAGGGCCCCCTCAAGAGTCTGTCACCAGAACCTTGCAGGGGGCCCATTGTCGCTTGTCACTGGAACCCTGCCAGTGCCCCTCTAGCTGCCACCTCCAGAGTCCCACAGCTCCTCGGACTGCAGCAGAGAATGTCAGGGAGGTCTCTGGAAGTCTGATTCCATTACTTCCATGATCTCCATGACATAAACGTAGCCTTAGTTATAGTCTCCCAAACTTTTGGTCTCTGTTAGTGGAACACAGAGCTCCAATGTTCCCTTGTGTGTCTTTGGTAAATTAGTAAAAAAATTTAAAAGGTTGTCTCGCCCATATATGAATTCTGTAGAGTTCATGCTCGTGTGAATTTTTGACAGAGCCATCCCATGTCCTCCTATCAGGATATGCATGCCTTTAAAAGTGCCAAAATATATTAAAGTCCAGTGTAAAGCCAGGCCAACATGGCACCCATGACATGAAGTCATGCTACTTTGTCCCAGAGGACTGTCCAAAGTCGTTAAAAGAGGACATTTGTCTGTAATTATTGTATTACTGTCCATGGTTTCAAGATTAAAAATACAGGGTACGCTATCACATGCAAATGAATTACATTTTCTTTGCTATGTTATCAATATTCAAGAAATGGTGCTTTGACAGCAGGACAGAAAACTGAATTAAGTTAACAAGTTAATATCTCTATTTCCTAATAGTTCCCTGTTCTGGTAACTTTGTTTTGTCTCTCAAACTCTATTCATAATGTGCCCTTCCTGTAAGAATGAATTGTTTTCATATGCTGGGTGTAGCTGTCTGATTTATGCTGTTCGGGAGCTTTTTTGTAGATGTTTTCTCAAGATAATCCCCATATGACTCCAAGCGGTATATTTCCTCTTTAATTATGTCTATATATGCCAGACTTCTTTCTGTACTTTTGTTGACTGCAAATTGGGGTTATTTGCTCAGTAAAGTGGGGGTTTTACTTTTAGAATACTTTGATTTTTTTTTTAAGTAAAATTGAAATGCCTTACCAAGTAAATGATTTTGCATCTTAAATTGTTGTAACAAAATAAATGGGTAGACATAAACATTAAAAATATATACATTCTCAAAGTAATCTGAAAGGCTTGTTGCCTGCCAGGACCTGTGTTCAGAGTTCTTTGTTTCTCCTGCAAGAGTTAATAACCTTAATATATTAAGTGCTCAAAAAGGCAGCTGCATTCTTTACATTGTTTTATGCATTTAATATAATCAACTTGTACCAGAGAGAGACACAAATCTGAACGCTAGGCATGGTAGGTAAGAAATCTGTTTACTTTTTAAATGTATATATTTGTATTTTTTACACCTATCTATGTTGCTCATATATACCAATATATTCTGTTAATGAATTAGGTTCATTTATATATTTAAAGCATTTCTGTTCATTTTTTCTTCAAAAGTTACTGACTCTTTGGATTTTATGTACTTATTAACAATGTATTGCTGTATAACTCTTTAACCAGGTTTCTTTTGTGTGCTCATTATTTTAAAGAATTTGATTTAAAATTTATTTTTTAATCTAAAAGTTAGATCAAAATGGGTCTTATGTTTATACAAAATCCATTTTATTGCTATTTATCTTTTTAAGAAATTAATTTTTCATTGACTGCCAGTGTGCAGAACTAATCTTTTATCATTTTAGTGTTTAAAGCAGTTTCTTACTATTATGCATGGGATGATAAAAGGTTTTGTTATGACGACGATGGATTTGAATCCATAGATAGGGGCCTACCAAATTCATAGTTCATTGTAGTCAATTTCATGGTCACAAGATGTTAAAAATCGCAAATTTCATGATTTCAGATATTTAAAGCTGAAATTTCACAGCATTGTAATTGTAGGGGTCCTGATCCAAAAAGGAATGGGGGTGGGGTGTGGTTTTTTTCACAAGGTTATTGTAGGTGGTTTGTGATACTGCTACCCTTACTTCTGCACTGCTGCTGGTGGGTGCTGCTTTCAGAGCTGGGTGCCTGGCCAACAGCGACCGCCCTCTGGCCGCCCAGCTCTGAAAGCAGCCCAGAAGTAAGGGTGGCCATACTGTGACCTTCCTAAAATAACCTTGCAAACCCTCCCTTCCCCCTGCACAACCCCTTTTCGGGTCAGGACCCCCAGTTTGAGAAATGCTGGTCTCCCCCGTGAAATCTGTGTAGTATAGGGTAAAAGCACACAAAAGACCAGATTTCACAGTTCATGACGCGTTTTTCATGGCCATGAATTTGGTAGGGCCCTATCCATAGAGGATGGCCGCAATCTACTTTAGTAGCACCTCCTACTGCCTGACTTAGCACACGCCAAAACTACTCCATAAGACAGAGGTTCTTGCCCAGCCTTGTGTTTACAAGCTTCATTATAGCAAATCATGGCAGCAGTCTATTAAGTGGTGTTGTGGGGGGATGGTTAGGATGGCTCCATGGTGAACTTTATGGTAACGGACAAACCTTCGGCCTCCTTGTAGGCAGACATATAATCAGTTATCTAACACAGTAAGCTAGATGAACTGATTCTATAATTCATAAATGACCATCATGGTCTCCGCACTGATTGCATCCCTACAACTGAAATCTGCTTTAGTGACACATCTGGTTATTTTTTTTTTCCTCTGAGAAGAACATTTGTTGAGAACTTCCTCTACCAGCAGACCAGCCTCATTGCCAAGAGTACCTGCCATGGAAAGTGCCAAATCTATTTCAGGTAATAACTTGTATCTAGTTGCCTGATAAAAGCAGGAACCCCCTTTTTTCAGTGCTGTAGTTACATGCCCAATCTACTGGTTTTAGAGAGAATTTCTGTCTTGTGACTGATAGATTCTATAACCACTTAGCAGTTGATGTATGCAAGCACCACTTGCTTATTTGGAATTGTTTATTTTTAAATGTCAAAGTCTAATCTTACATTTATACATGAAAAAAACATAAAAGCCCTTGATAAAACATTCAGACCTATTAGATCAAACAGAACTGAGCAGCTTAACTCTGTGGAACAATTTCCTCCTATGGCATATTTTAATAGTTGTGCGTATACACTAGAACCAAGATTCATGCATGACTCATCTTCAGCCATCCAGGAAATAAGTATTGCTCTATAACCGTTCTTCTCAATGTTGCACGGAATTTTGACTTGCAAGGTACGCAGAAATGTTTGTTACTAGTTTTTAGTTTTTACCTTTTGGATACAAGTTTTTTAAGTGATAAAATAATGGCAGTACACTCAGACTTCTGCCTTATATAGCTAATTTAATAGACAGCAGTTTAATATGCCTTTCATTATTCTTTTTTAGGTGTGTATATATAGGTCTTCTCCCATTGCAAAGAATTCCATCCAGCTTATTTGTTTTAAATACGAGACTGCTAGGTTTTGTGGTAGCATATTATCATACATTAATACATGAAATGGTTGCTAGAAAGCATTTAAACGTACTCCTTTATATGTCACTATGCAAACTTTGTGCTAACCATATAGGGGAAGTGAATGTGTTTGTAATTAATCATTTTTAAAATTATGCTTCCAAAACAGAAAATATTTACATGGGCCACCAGTATCAGTGTCATTTAGTTTATATAGAAAGTAGAGTCCATGCTAATTTGAAGTAAAAAAACAAAAGTAACAACAAAAACCAAACCCTAGATTAATAAAAACAAACCTAAGTACAATATAAAACCATGTACCTATTTTTAAATTCCAATGGATATTTTTAAACAAACCTTCCCATGCAATATGTGCAGCACATATGTTGCATCACTGAGAACCTGGAAGTGGTTCAGGATACAAACAAAAAGTGGGTCTGAATATGTTCTTTTTACCATCCAAGTTGAGAGAGAGATGTAGAAAAGCAAGTAAATAGTATAAATGGTAAAAAGTAAATTGTATTTTTAAAGCTTTCAATCTTGTGACATAGGTAAGAAAATGTATTTAAAACAGGATTTTCAGATGTCTTTTAACCATCCAAAAGACTGATATTTTGTAATTTTTATTTCAATGTCTTCCTAATTTACTGTGTAAAGTATTTATAAATTAACATAGTCCCTGATACCAATAGAAATTAAATCTCTCTGGAAGTATTTGGAGCACTTCATATTTTTCTGTCTTGCACAGATGCAATCAGTAGCTTGTTTGCAAGTTTAGGAAGCAAAACTCAGCTTCCCTACTTTTATTTAATTAGAAAGTACTCTATATAGAAGAAGAACATGCTACTACACAGCCATTCTGAGTTTTGACATACGTTCAGGATGTGGTGTTGGTACCAGCAGGTGAAACGCAAACTGTTTGCCCTGTGGTAAATCACTGTAGCTTCTTTCTGTGTAAAGTAACGGATCGTCTTGGTCACTTTGTAATTAAAATTTTCATCAGGCAAACTTATAGCAGTCCATACTGTTCCAGGGTGTTACATGGGTACTTTTCATTGTTAATAAGAATCTCCCTCTGACTACTGATAAGGCCAGCTGTCACAGCTAATAGGATTTCTTCTTCACATCATCTGACAACTTTCACTCAGGTGCCTGTTTTATTTTACTGAACTTTTAATAAATTATAAATTATAAACAAATTATAAAAAAAAACAAAATTCTAACCTCATAACTACTTTTGCATGAACCGTAAGAAAATATAATCGTTTGGTTTTATGTAATGTCTCCCCTACTCAAGACATTCCAAGACTGTTAGAGAGATGGCATAAAGTCATCCACTCGGCAAATTGCCCTTGCTTCAGGTAAAATTTAATCATACAAAACTTTGGTAATTTTAGCAATTTACTCCTTTCCTAAAATTCTTCACTAAGGGTGAAATATCAAGAATTAAATGATATAGGCTTGTGTTTTTCTTGCTTAATGTGGGGTTATATATTTGTTTCTAGAGCTTTTGAATTTTCCCCCATTCAGTGTCTAGACGAAGTAGTGAAGAAATCAAACGGGACATTAGTGCACCTGACGGAGCATCTCCAGCCTCTCTCATGGCAATCGGAACCACCTCACCACAACTCTCTCTCTCCTCCTCTCCTACAGCATCTGTCACCCCTACAACACGAAATCGAATAAGGTACAACCCATTATTACACAGTATGTTTTTAAACCAGTATTAATTTCAGAGCTGTGAAACACCATACTATGCAAGCATAGAATTTAGTCCGAGCATTAAACACCAACGTTTGACTGTTGTCTTTGCAATAGTGCTCTTTGGTAACCTCTGGAACTTCGCGTAGACTCTTTGTAGCACCATAAGGCATGATGTCTTGGGAAGACAGGTCCCAGGACACTTAACGGCTTAATGGGTCAATATGAACACCTTAAAAACTCCACCAGGAAACCAACAGACAGCCAGGACAGATCTCTGAGCTTTGAAGTTGTGTTTTTAGTGAGAAACTACATTTAACAAGTGACCTGTAACATTCTGAACCAGCCTCAGTTTTGCGTTAATTTAAGATTTGGCTCCATGTAGAGCATGTGGCAAAGGTATAAATCATCCTACTGATGCTGATATTTTTATATTCATTTTTATCGTGCCTTCTGTACAAGGACTCAAAACGTTTTTTAAATATCAAGTCTTACAACACACGTGAGCTAAGTACATTTCACAGGTTGGGAAACTTGTCCACAGGTTAAATGACTTTTCCCAAGATCACCTGACAGTAAAACGTCTCATCGACAAATAAATAAATAAATACATTATAACACTGAGAAATTGTTTGCTGCTCTGGACATTATCCAGAGCAATGATTTCACTGAGATTAGTTGAGGCGTACTTCAGCATAATGCCAGTTTTAGTCATTGATTATGTGAAGTTCTATGCCTATGGACAGTTTGTCCATTTAATTTACAGGTAATTTACAAATAACACTAAAGAAACAGACCTCTTATTGGCAGTCCCGCATTTCGATTTTGAGTAAGGGTAAAAATTTCACTAACGTTTCTACATGAATCTTAACCTCTGAAGATTTACACGTGCACTGTTTGCAGACCAAAGGTTGCAATGAAAGCATGCGATTATAAATAAGGCGTAGATGGAGAATGGCCATCACAATAGCACAACTGCTCTGCGTAAGTATGAAGTAGCGTGCTCGGCCCTGTAGGAAGAAAACCTGCTGCTATTAGAGCAGTGGAGGGCAAGTATAATGAAAAATAATTGCCCCATGGGAATCCTCTTCAGAAGAGAGCTGCTGTTGGGTTTTTAATATGTTGTGCGTCGCTTGCAAAATTTTATTATAGGATGTAAAATAAGGATTTTAAGAAAATCAGCCTTTGCAAATTTACACAATAAATGTGGACACACCCCTGGGTTCCAACCTGAAACCATAAATCAGTTCTTTGATTTGGAATACAGTTGGCCTAAGATATTCATTTTAAGATTTATATCAATCACAATCCATTTCTCATTGTCTCCCTACAATTCATTTTCATTTGTTTCCTTCCACACTGTTTTCATAACAGTAAGAACTTGATATAAACCATGTGCCTGGAATTTGGGAACAGGCTGTACAGTTCCCTCATGGCTACCCAGCATGCTTAACAGGAAAAGAGAATTTTGACTCAGGTTCCTTATATGTTGTCACAAATCTTATAGGGCGTTATCTCCATTCTTTTCTTAAATTATAGTGGCATTGCATAATCTTCATTCTAGTGTGAAAACACAAACTCCAAATTAATTAACTTAAGCAAGAATGTGGGTTGCTAAAGCATGTGCTGATCTGGAGATATCAGAGAAAAGTTAATTCCTTAAGACACCAGTCTAACAGCATAGAGTCATAGAAATGTAGGGCTGGAAGAGACTTTTTGAGAAGTAAAGCCTAGCCCCCTGCTTGCACTGAGGCAGGACCAACTAAACCTAGACCGTCCCTGACAGGTGTTTGTTTAACCTGTTCTTAAAAATCTCCAATGATGGGTATTGCATAGTCTCCCTTGGAAACCTATTCTAGAGTTTAACTACCCTGCTAGTTAGGTTTTTCCTAATATCTAACCTAAATCTCCTTTGCTACAGATTTAAGCCCCATTACTACTTATCCCTCCTCCAGTGGATATGGAGAACAATTAGTCACAGTCCTCTTTATAACAGCCCTCAACATATTTGAAGACTGTTAGCAGGTCTCCCCTCAGGCTGCTTTTCTCGAGACTAAACATGCTTAATGGTTTAACCATACCTTATAGGTCAGGTTTTCTAAATCTTTTACATTTTTGTTGCTTTCCTCTGGACTCCATCAATACGTCGTAGACTTTCCTAAAGTCTACTGCCCAGAATTGGACACAGTACTCTGGCTGAGGCCTCATCAGTGCAGAATAGAATGAGACAGTTACCTCCTGTCTCTTATATACAACACTTCTGTTAATATACCCCAGAATGATATTGGCCTTTTTGACAACAGCATCATATTGTTGCCTCTTATTCAATTTGTGATCCCTGTATCCCCCGGTACTACCACCTAACCAGTTATTCCCCATTTTGTAATTGTGCATTTTATTTTTCCTTCCTTAGTGAAGTACTTTGCACTTATCTTTATTGAATTTCATCTTGTTGATTTCAGACCAGTTCTCCAATTGGTCAAGGTTGTTTTGATTCTAATCCTGTCCTCTAAAGTGCTTGCAACCCCTCCCAGCTTGGTGTCACATGCAAGTTTTATAAGCATACTCTCCACTTTTATTCAAGTCACTAATGAAAATATTGAATAGTACCAGACCCAGGACTGACCTCTGCAAGCAGAATACAGACCCTGGACTTCAGAAAAGCAGACTTTGACTCCCTCCGCGAACTGATGGGCAGGATCCCCTGCGGGAATAACATGAGGGGGAAAGGAGTCCAGGAGAGCTGGTTGTATTTTAAAGAATCCTTATTGTGGTTACAGGGACAAACCATCTCAATGTGTAGAAAGAACAGTAAATATTGCAGGCGATCAGCTTGGCTTAACAGTGAAATCCTTGCTGATCTTAAACACAAAAGAGAGGCTTACAAGAAGTGGAAGATTGGACAAATGACCAGGGATGAGTATAAAGATATTGCTCGGGCATGTAGGAGTGAAATCAGGAAGGCTAAATCACACCTGGAGTTGCAGCTAGTGAGAAATGTTAAGAGTAACAAGAAGTGTTTCTTCAGGAATAGTGGCAACAAGAAGAAAGCCAAGGAAAGTGTGGGCCCCTTACTGAATGAGGGAGGCAACCTAGCGACAGAGGATGTGGATAAAGCTAATGTACTCAATGCTTTTTTTGCCTCTGTCTTCATGAACAAGGTCAGCTCCCAGACTACTGCACTGGGCAGCACAGCATGGGGAGGAGGTGGCCAGCCCTCTGTGAAGAAAGAAGTGGTTCGGGACTATTTAGAAAATCTGAAAATCTGGACGTGCACAAGTCCATGGGGCCGGATGCGTTGCATCCGAGAGTGCTAAAGGAATTGGCGGATGTGATTGCAGAGCCATTGGCCATTATCTTTGAAAATTCATGGCGATCGGGGGAAGTCATGGAAGACTGGAAAAAGGCTAACGTAGTGCCCATCTTTAAAAAATGGAAGAAAGAGGATCCTGGAAACTACAGGCCAGTCAGCCTCACCTCAGTCCCCAGAAAAATCATGGAGCAGGTCCTCAAGGAATCAATTCTGAAGCACTTAGAGGAGAGGAAAGTGATCAGGAACAGTCAGCATGGATTCACCAAGGGAAAGTCATGCCTGACTAATCTAATTGCCTTCTATGATGAGATAACTGGTTCTGTGGATGAAGGGAAAGTGGTGGACGTGTTATTCCTTGACTTTAGCAAAGCTTTTGACACGGTCTCCCACAGTACTCTTGTCAGCAAGTTAAAGAAGTATGGGCTGGAAGAATGCACTATAAGGTGGGTAGAAAGTTGGCTAGATTGTCGGGCTCAACGGGTAGTGATCAATGGCTCCATGTCTAGTTGACAGCCGGTATCAAGTGGAGTGCCCCAAGGGTCGGTCCTGGGGCCGGTTTTGTTCAATATCTTCATTAATGATCTGGAGGATGGTGTGGATTGCACCCTCAGCAAGTTTGCGGATGACACTAAACTGGGAGGAGTGGTAGATATGCTGGAGGGTAGGGATAGGATACAGAGGGACCTAGCCAGATTGGAGATTGGGCCAAAAGAAATCTGATGAGATTCAACAAGGACAAGTGCAGAGTCCTTCACTTAGGACGGAAGAATCCAATGCACTGCTACAGACTAGGGACCGAATGGCTAGGCAGCAGTTCTGCAGAGACGGACCTAGGGGTGACAGTGGACAAGAAGCTGGATATGAGTCAACAGTGTGCCCTTGTTGCCAAGAAGGCCAATGGCATTTTGGGCTGTATAAGTAGGGGCATTGTCAGCAGATCGAGGGACGTGATCGTTCCCCTCTGTTCGACATTGGTGAGGCCTCATCTGGAGTACTGTGTCCAGTTTTGAGCCCCACACTACAAGGAGGATGTGGAAAAATTGGAGAGAGTCCAGCAAAGGGCAACAAAAATTATTAGGGGTCTGGAATACATGACTTATGAGGAGAGGCTGAGGGAACTGGGATTGTTTAGTCTATGGAAGAGAAGAATGAGGGGGGATTTGATAGCTGCTTTTAACTACCTGAAAGGTGGATCCAAAGAGGATGGATCTAGACTATTCTCAGTGATAGCAGATGACAGGACAAGGAGTAATGGTCTTAAGTTGCAGTGGGGGAGATTTAGGTTGGATATTAGGAAAAACTTTTTCGCTAGGAGGGTGGTGAAACACTGGAATGCGTTACCTAGGGAGGTGGTGGAATGCCCTTCCTTAGAAGTTTTTAAGGTCAGGCTTGATAAAGCCCTGGCTGGGATGATTTAGTTGGGCATTGGTCCTGCTCTGGGCAGGGGGTTGGACTAGATGACCTCCAGAGGTCCCTTCCAACTCTGATATTCTATGATTCTATGACTCCACTAGATACGTCCTCCCAGTTTGACACTGAACCACTGATAACTGCACTTTTGAGTATGGTCTTTCAGCCAGTTGTACAACTGTTTTACAGTAATTCAGCTAGACTACTTTTCCTTAGCTTGCCTATCAAGTTAAATATGACCCAGTATTGGAGTCTGATTCTGTTTGTCTCTTAGTTCTAAAATAAATACAGTGTATATAAGAAAGTTGTTTTCTTTAATATAACTCTTCATGAGATTGGCATTTATGTCTAAATATACTTATTTCTTTTCTTGTTTAGCATAAGTAGCTAACACATTTCAAGGCACTATTCACTTTTCAAGGGGCCACTTCACCTTGAATGGTCCCTTGAAGTGTGGTGACTACTTGTGCTAAACAATCTGTTCCACCTTGTATTTAGCTGTGACACTGAGTATCTTTCCCAAACCTGAAGAAGAGCTCTGTGTAAGCTTGAAAGATTGTCTCTGTCACCAACAGAAGCTGGTCCAATTAAAGATATATCTCACCCATCTTGTCTCTCTAATACCAATGTCTGGCATTTGAGTTGCCTGATTCTGAACAACTTTACAATTTTGCATTAGGACTCGATATTACAATGACTATTCTAAGAAACTCTCATTTTCTTAAATAATTATTTTGACATTGGAGCATAATCTTGTTTCTTCTGAAGCTAGAGTTCATTGAACTATTACATGGCATGTGGAATTAAATTAGATAGTCAAGTCATGTAGAATAGTCATTTGTACTGAGGTATTAGTGCACGAAATTCTGTGAAATTCAGATTTCAGGATTTTTTTTTCCAGCAAGGCTTGTGAAATTGATACATTTCAGCTGCTTGTCTACTCTTGTCTACTGTAGCACTTCAGTGTAGATACTACCTACACCAATGGGAGGAATTCTCCCATCACAGTTGTTAATCCACCTTCCTGAGAGACAGAAGCTAGGTCGATGAAAGAATTTCTCCGTCTACCTCATGCTGTCTACACCAGGGATTAAGTCAGTGTAGCTCCTTCTTTCAGGGGTGTGGATTCTTCACACCGCTGAGAGAGATAGCTGTACTGATGTAAAATTCTAGTGTAAACCAGGTCTATGTCTGCAGGAGTTCCACTGGAACATTATTTTCTGCTGGGGTTGAAATGGCTGGTCCTAAAGAACACAGAGCCAAGGATTAAATAATTAGTATACGCTAGCTGTGTTTGGAAGGCAGGTGTCTTGAAGGGGTAATTTTTTGTAGTACTGACATGGGGATCTGAGAATCTTATTTAAATATGCATAGAATTATTTAAAAATAATCCTCCTTTACCATGCACAGAGTACTAGCTAGCCATAGCATTATTTTTCTTCTAAATAGAGAACGTTAGGATTAACTGCAAAATCTTTTTTGAAATATCCCTACTTCTGCTCATTAAGCTACTTAGAATGCATAACACCTCATAGAATCATAGAAGATTAGGGTTGGAAGAGAACTCAGGCGGTCATCTAGTTCAACACCCTGCTCAAAGCAGGACCAACCCCAACTAAAGCATCCCAGCCAGGGCTTTGTCAAGCCAGGTCTTAAAAACTTCCAGGGATGGAGATTCCACCACCTCCCTAGGTAACCCATTACAGTGCTTCACCACCCTCCTAGTGAAATAGTTTTCCTAATATCTAACCTAGACCTCCCCCACTACAACTTGAGACCATTACTCCTTGTTCTGTCATCTGCCACCACTGAGAACAGCCTAGCTCTTTGGAACCCCGCTGCAGGTAGTTGAAGGCTGCTATCAAATCCCCCCTCACTCTTCTCTTCTGCAGACTAAACAAGTCCAGTTCCCTCAGCCTCTCCTCATAAATCATGTGCTCCTGCTCCCAGTGGTTTTTGTTGCCCTCCGCTGGACTCTCCAATTTGTCCACATCCTTTCTGTAGTGGGGGCCCCAAAACTGGACACAATACTGTAGGTGTGGCCTCACCGTGCCGAATAAAGGGGAATAATCACTTCCCTTGATCTGCTGGCAATGCTCCTACTAGTGCAGCCTGATATGCCGTTAGCCTTCTTGGTAACAAGGGCACACTGTTGACTCATATCCAGCTTCTCGTACACTGTAATCCCCAGGTCCTTTTCTGCAGAACTGCCACTTAGCCAGTTGGTCCCGAGCCTGTATCAGTGCATGGGATTCTTCCATCCTAAGTGCAGGACTCTGCACTTGTCCTTGTTGAACCTCATAAGATTTCTTTTGGTCCAATCCTCCAGTTTGTCTAGGTCACTCTGGACCCTCTCTCTACCCTCCAGCATATCTACCTCTTCCCCCATGCTGAACAAAACTGGCCCCAGGACAGACCCCTGGGGCACTCCACTTGATACCGGCTGCCAACAAGACATCGAGCTGTTGACCACTACCCATTGAGCCTGACAATCTAGCCAGCTTTCTATCTACTTTATAGTCCATTCATCCAATCCATACCTTTTAACTTGCTGGCAAGAATACTGTGGGAGACCATATCAAAAGCTTTGCTAAAGTCAAGATATATCACGTCCACCGCTTTCCCCATATCCACAGAGTCACTTATCTCATCATAGAAGGCAATCAGGTTGATCAGGCATGACTTGCCCTGGGTGAATCCATGCTGACTGTTCCTGATCACCTTCCTCTCCTCACAGTGCTTCAAAATGGATTCCTTGAGGACCTGCTCCATGATTTTTCTACCTAGCCCTTTTAGTTGCATAAGAAACCCTTTATTACAGAAAGACTTACTGCAACTACAGAAATGTGAATTTCAGTAATAACACTATTAATGTAGCAGTTTCTATTTTGAGCAGTGTGATTTTTAGTCTAATAAAACTATAATATTAATAAAAGTATAATATTTATAATTCAAAATTGTCATGAAAACATACCAGCCCAGGAACAGTTTTTTCTCCTGACCTTTATCATAGGGAAAAAATGAATATTTCTTCCCCTCCCGCCTCCCAGCCAAAAAACCCTCCCTCTCCCTGGGTGAGTGGGCAAACTCAATTTTTCAAGGCTTTCAGTATCCATGTTTGTCTTATTCCTAAATATACCAAAACTTATCCATTACTTATGGATACTGAGGGGCCTATATCTATAATAGCACTTATTGGGAATTGGACACCATTCCATTACAAGTAAAGTAAATAATAAACATTGCCTGCATATAAAGTAGACCAGTGAGACTATCTCTTTGAGCATGTCCCTCCTACTGAAAGCTCCAGATCTTGAGACAGTTTGTTAGCAGTAATTGAGTGCTATTAATATTCAAATTTCTTGCTCTTTCAAGGTTATATGCCTAATCAGCCATGAGATGCAAAAGAGATACCATCAGTTCATTGTTGTAAAACACAAATTAAAGTTGTTTAAATTAGCTTATAGTTCAGGTGCGTGGTGGTGTAGTCTAGCACATTAACTTAATATTATGAACTCTTAGAAAAAATCTTGTTTGTATATAAAGGAGGCTTTAATTTAAAATAAATTAATCCTAAAGTGAGTGGTAACTGACTGACACCAGTGGTGAAAACACCAAAAGGTCTTAATACAGTCACAATCAGTGTCTTTGTCTGATCAGTATGCACAGTGATTGCTGGTGGAACAATTGATTTGATCCCTCTTCACAGGGAAAATTTTGCAGGCTTAACTGGGTATATTCCTCCTTCAGACAGCATTTTGAGCCTTATTCTTCTCACTGGGATGGGTACTCACTTTGCTAACAGTTATTGCAAAAAGTGGTGTGATATCAAAACTTTACTGTTTTTCCTCTACTCTCAGGGAAGAAAGGAAAGACCCTTTATCTGCTCTTGCAAGAGAATATGGAGGTTCCAAAAGAAATGCCTTGCTGAAGTGGTGTCAGAAGAAAACCGAAGGATATCAGGTAACTCCAAAGCTGTTTAATACTGCACACTCTTATTACAACGCATGAAAATCTGCCAAAGGCACAAACGAGATTGCTCCACAGTTCACTGCATAGATCGCAATGAAACTGGCATGTGCTGTACTTTCTTACAGGAACACATGCTACAAGTCCTAACCTAACTAGCATGAATAGTTAGTCACTTTTCAGCACAGTGCAAATGTGGGGGGTTTGGGGTGGTTGTGTTTTTTTTTTTAAGAGAACCATCTGACCTTCCATTGAGGCACTTTTAAAACAACTATCATACATATTACACATTTGAAACTCAGATAAAGGAGTAATAATTTAAGGCTGATAAAGACTTTAATATACAGATATTCAGAGTTTACTCTAGATTTTCATCTGACAAATACAGCTAATGTAACACTTTTGAGTTTAAAAGTTAATTATTAGTAAGTAAACAGTGAGGTTCTAAGGACGTGTCTACACTTAAAATGCACTCTGCTGTAGCGCTTCATTGCTGATGGGAGAGGTTCTCCATTGCTGTAGGTGATCCACCTCCCTGAGAGGCAGTAGTTATGTCAACAGAAGAATTCTTGTGTCGACCTAGCGCTGTTTACATGGGGACTTGGATCAGCTTAATAATGCCGCTCAGGGTTGTGGACTTTTCACACCCCTGACTGTCGTAGCTAAACCAACCTAATTTTCTAGTGTAGGATGAGCTTAGGTGAATCTTTCAGGATCTTTCATTTAATATCACTGTTCACAGTGACATGTTCCTTCTTTTTTGGAGATTGCATTGTTTCACATACACACTGTATTTGGCTTTCTGCTGCATTTTCAGCTTTCTTTTCAATTAGTCCTAATGTTGTCAGAACCTGAAAGAACTAACAAGATAGTTCCCCACATTTCTCCTGTGTTTACATAATTTTTCAAAACAATAGAGACTTCAGCAAACTGAACCAGGATGTTAGAGTCTAGCCATGATGTATTTGTTTGGTTAATTGTATTGAAAGTGTTTTGAATTCCTAGCACAGACCTCAGTTTAAAAACTTCACTCTTTCAGTGACTTGAAATTCACAACACAGGAGGAAGCTGAAAGCCACGTAACAGGATGGTTGACCATCCATAGGAAAAGTCGTCTCTCAGTACAATAGAGTCTTGTGCTATAAACCCAAGCTGCCCCTCTTCCACTTCCTGTGGCATGTCTCTGATACCAAATTGTGCTATTTCTGAGTGTAAGTGTCTTTATGGAAATGGTCCTTCCTCCTCATTTTTTTTTAAAAGGCAGGATGTTAGATCTTTTTCTTTAAAGCCTGTAAGTCTAAATGGAAAAATATCTGAAGCTTGTTATCTCTAAATGAAAGATGCATCTGACAGCATCCGTAATTTATCAGGACAAAGTTTTATAAAGTACTCAAGACCTTTCCTTCTCTGACTGTGCACACAGACAAGGCCATCCTCTTGTGCACGTTGACTAGCTGCTTAGCCAATCTACATGGACCCTTGTAAGTGGTAACAGGAGGAGGGAGGGATGACACCTCATGTACTTGCTCTGACAGCTATTACGTGACTCTCTGCATGTGCTGCTGCTGCAGGGCTATATCATCTCATGTCTCTGAGCTACGTAAACCTCTTTCTGAAGGAGCCAGACTAGTACTGTTGGAACATATTAAGTTAGCTATCGCAGAAGAATGTATTTTGTTTAGACATCCACATTTATCATTTCTCTTTAAATTGTTGTACTGTATTAAATTTGTTTTTCAAGATCCCCCTGAAATTCAATTCTGGTGTACATGTGGGGTGTTGCTGCTATGCTTTTTGTAATGCTATAAATGTATCCTGAAATGTGCTCACTATGAGTAGAGATTATCCAGACATCTCAGCCCCATTATCAATACCTTATAAGTATTAGGATGTCTTTGGGAAACAAAACCTTAAAGTTACACCACCACCCCTTATAGAGTGAAGTCCATTATGTAGTAACTTAAAGATAAATAATGGATGGAGAGAATAAAAATCGTCTTTAAAAAACCTCCCAACACTTAATATTCAAAGAATGTAATATTAGCCCCACTTCTGAGCAAAAATTCCTTTCCCCCTGTTGGACCTGTTTGGTTTTTGTCCTTAAAGAAAACCCCAGCCTGATTTCACATCTTCTAAAAAGGGGGTATTTTCAGTATTTACAAGACTTTTTTGTAAAGTTGTCAGTTAGTGGGAGACTTGTAATAACAAGCCTGACCAAAAAAATAAGTTGAGGGGGGATTTGAAAGTTGGGGGGTAATAAAGCACAGAAATCAGTACAGCCATATGTCTGCCAAAAAAGAGTGAAAAATTGTATTTAGGAAGGAGAAGCTCTGGATGTCCTGAAGAAATTTAAAACCAATAGCACATATAAAGAGGGGATAGAATCATAGAATATGAGGGTTGGAAGGGACCTCAGGACGTCATCTAGTCCCACCCCCTGCTCAAAGCAGGACCAATCCCCAACTAAATCATCCCAGCCAAGGCTTTGTCAAGTAAAGCCAAGACAGCAAATGAGGCATTGACTTCGGGTGCGTGCTTCCACAGGATCATGAGTTGGAAGCACATATTTGTAATTGCTGCTTATTGGGCAGATGATTTCATATCTCTGTTGTCCCATCTTCTGTCTACTTAATTTGAGAACATTTTCTTTATTTGGATAGTCTTGTTGTGACTGCCGTTGGTCCTTAAAACTCTGCACATCACAAACCAGATTTTTTCACGCTGCAGTGTAATCTAATTGATCTGATTCAAAATCCCACAAATTTTAGAGATGTTAACCCACCCAATGTCATTCTTTCTATTTATTTTCCTGATTCTCCCCACTATAATATAAAAAAAGTATATTCCACATCAGGAATTTCCAGATTTGTCTAGAGACTGTGGTAATTTTGTCAAGGATACAGATCCCAAAGATTTATAACCCCCAGGTTGAAGAGGGGGAACTCTTAATTAGGTGTTCAGAAATCTTTACAAAACAAACAAAACCAAAAACACCTGGTTACTCAATAACAGACTTAAAAGTGGCAATTCAACAAAAAAAACTTCAAAAACATGAAACTGCAGAACTGGAATTAATTTGGGACACCATCAAATGAGGCCTGAATAAAGACTGGGAGTGGATGGGTCATTACAAAACCTAATTTCCCCATACTGATTTCCCCCTACTGTTACTCACACCTTTTTGTAATGGGCCATCCTCATTACCTCCACAAAAGTGATTTTTCCTCCCTTGTTATTCTACTGTTAATTGAATTGTCTCATTAGACTGACCCCCCAGTTGGTAAGGCAAGTCCCATCTTTTATGTACTATGTATATTTACCTGCTACTGTATTTTCCACTCCGTGCATCCGATGAAGTGGGTTTTAGCCCACGAAACCTTATGCCCAGATAAACTTGTTAGTCTCTAAGGTGCCACAAGGACTCGTTGTTTTTGCTGATACAGACTAAGATGGCTACACTCTTAAAAATCACTGTTTAGCATAATTAAAGTTGAAACAATTTTCAGTAACACATATACTCTAGGTTAAAAGAATAAAACTTTCAAATATGATCCAATATAGCTTCTAAATTGTGCTGAAGGTTTTAAATCATGATTTATAATTAAACAAAAACCCTTCTAGATCTCTTATCATGCTGTATAATTATTATTGTTTTCATCCTAACTGCATTATCTCAATTTATAAGATTTCTTATTGCAGTGTCAAAGATCACGGTAGCATAGTATAATTAGACCAGATCATACTTTATCTGAAAACTGCTGCTGTGTTTCTGATTATGATGGAAAAATTAGAATGTTAGGCATAGTCTCTTCTGATTTAATTTCCATTTGTGTGTGTTGAATTAGTTATTGTGATAATGTAAAAGAGGAACTTTTAGTTCTTTTGTGTTCAATTAAAAGCATTAGCATAAGAGTAAAAATGATTATTCAGACCCTATAAATCTGCATTTTCTTATTGTGTCTTTTGCCACTGCTAACTTTAGGAAAGGTTTGTTTAGTCCAGCATCATAACGGTCAACAAAAATCTGCTTCTCCAATCTCATTCTCAAACCTTTTATACTTTTTCCCCTTTGAAACAGCTATAGTTTCTTCTATTAAATAAATATGTGCCAGAGCCTTCCAGGTTGTGAAGTTGATTGCCTGTAACTAGAGCAGGCATTGAAAAGGGGAGGGTGTGAAAATTTAAAATAACTTCAGCTGCTTGTGTTTGGTAGAGAGCATAGATCCAGGCATAATATTTTTTTTTGGGGGGAGGGGGTGTTTTGGAAGTATTTTCTGTGGAGCCCCCGGGGGTGATTTGTCCCAGTCGAAGTGGAGAATGGTTGAGTTTGTGTATCTATAAACTGATGAACTAGACAAACTTAACCAGACAAAAATAGCCAGATCCAGTCTGTATTTTATTTTTTTATTTAAAGTGCCCATACAAAGGGCTCTAAGTAGCTTGCCAATTACAAAAACAAAATCCAATGCAATCAGCTGGTCCTTTGTACCAAGCAGCAGCACATGATCAAATACTAAAACCCTCAGAGAGCAATCTTCACATCAACTCACCTCCCTCTCTTCAAAGGCCAGATGAAAGAAATAAGCCCTGCAGTGTGCCCTGGAAGTGTTAATAGAGAACAGGCTGGGCTGTTTCACACCGGGGCAGGAGGGTGTTCCAGAGCCCTGTGACTCTTACGGCGAATGTCTTACATTGCTAATATAGTGCCATTCTCTGTGTACAAAGAGTGGAGGAAAATACTTTTTTGCCATTATGAAATTATCTTTGAAACTTTTAAAAAAACATTTTTACTATCCTAGTAGAAGGTGGTAGAAACTTGCAGTTTGTTGGGATATAGTCCCTCATATGCCGAGGTGCCTTTCTGATTGCATCCAAATCATAATGAATTTTCACCATAGAACAGAATGGTTTTAAAAACTTATACATGCAGACACACTGTGTTGTGCTAGGAAGAGCATCATGCTCCTGTCTACCAAGTAATTCCACATAATGGA